TTCACTGACCCTTCACTTTACCAAGCATGATGTCTTTCTCCAGGGACTGGTCCCTTCTGATAATATGTCTGAAGTTTGAGAGATAAAGTCTCTCCATCCTGGCTTCTAAGGAGCATTCTGGCTGTGCTTCTTCCAATACACATTTGTTTGTTCTTCTAGCACTCATGGTACTTTTAATATTCTTCTCCAGTACTATAATTCAAACGCATTAATTCTTCTACAGTCTTCCTTATTCACCGTCCAACTTTCACATGCATATAAAGCTATGGAAACTACCATGACTTGGGTGAGTAGTATCTTAGTTCTCAAACTGATGTTTTTGCTCTTGAACACTTTTTTTTAAAGAGGCCTTTAGCAGATTTGCTTAATGTAATAAATGATTTCATTTCTTGGCTGCTGCTTCCCTGAGTGTTGATAGTGAATTCAAGCACAATGAAGTCTTTGACAACTTCAATCTTTTCTCCATTTATCATGAGGTTATTCATTGGTCCACTTGTGAGGAATCTTGTTTTCTTTACAGAGTTTCAACCCATCCTGAAAGCTGGATGGGTTGCAAATCTTCATCAGTAAATATTTAAGTCCTCTTTGATTTCAGCAAGCAAGGTTGTATCATCTGAATATCACAAGTTGTTAATGAGCTTTCCTCCAATCTTTATGCCATGTTCTTCTTCATATAGTCAAGCTCTTTGGATATTTGTTCAGCATACAGATTGAATAAATACGGTGAAAGAAAGCACACCTTTCCTAAATTTAAACCATTTGGTGTCCCCTTGTTCTGACAGCTACCTCTTGGTCTATATACAGGTTCCTCACAAGCACAATTAAGTATTCCAGAACCCTCATTCTCCACAGTGTTGTCCATAGCTTGTCATGATCCACACAATAGAAAGCCTTCACACAGTCAATGAAGTACAGGTAAACATCTTTCTGGTATTCTCTGCTTTCAGCCAAGGTCTATCTGAAGTTAGCAATGATATAACTTGTTCCATGTCCTTGTCTGAATCCAAATTAAACCTTTGGCAGTTTTCTGTCAATGTACTATTACAGCCTTTTCAAATTAGCTTTAGCAAAATGTTACTTGCATGTGATATTAATGATATTGCCCAATGATTTCTGCATTCTGTTCTGGGCATAAAAATCTTTTCCAATCAGTGGGCTAGGTAGCTGTCTTCCAAATTTCTTGGCATAGTGCCGCAGTTTCTTGAAATATTTCAATTTGTATTTCATCAATTCCCAGATCCTTGTTCTTTGCCAATACCTTCAATATACCTTAGACTGACTTTTTCCTCAGTACTATTGGCTCTTGATCATATGCTACCTCTTGAAATGGTTGAATTTGTACCATTTCTTTTTTGGTATAGTGACTCTGCGTATTCCTTCCATCTTCTTTTGATGCTTTCTGTATCATTCAATATTTTGCCTAATAGAATCCTTCAATATTTCAAGTCGAGGCTTGAATTTTTTTCTTCAGTTCTTTTAGCTTGACAACTGCTGAGCATGCTCTTCCCTTATGATTTTCTAACTTTGCATATTTTATTATAATATTTGACTCTGTCTTCTGGAGCTGACCTTAGAATTTTATGTTCAGTTATTTTACTTTCTCATTTCTTTCACTTGCTTTAGCTGGAGAACAAATTAGACTCTCTTCTGACATCCATTTTTGTCTTTTCCTTCTTTCTGGTCTTCTTAATGACCTTCTGCTTTCCCTCATATGATATTCTTGATGTCATCACAGCTCTTCTGGTCTTCGGTCATTAGAGTCTAATGTATCGAATCTGCTCTTGAGATAATCTCTAAATTAAGGTGAGACATGCTCAAGGTCATATTTTGGCTCTTGTGAACTTGTTTCAATTTTCTTCAGCTTGAGTCTGAACTTGCATATGTGCAATTCATGGTCTGCTCCACAGTCTGTCCCTGGCCTTGTTTTAGCTGCTGATATGATCTCTTCCCACAGGTGTAGTCATTTTGATTTCTGTATATGCCATCCGGTAAAGTCCATATGAATAGTTGTCTATTATGTTGTTTAAAATAGTTATTTGCAATGAAAATCATTGGTCTTGCAAAATTCTATCACTTGATTTCCAGCATCATTTTGATCATCAAGGTCATGTTTTCCAACTATTGATCCCTCCTCTTTGTTTCTAACTTTTAATCACCAGTAATTATCAATACATTCCTATTTCATATTTGATCAATTTCAGGCTGAATATGCTAGTAGGATTCTTCAATTTTATCATCACTGGTTTTAGTGGTTGGTGAATACATTTGAATAACTATGGTATTAAGTCTTCTGTATAGGTGTATGGACATTACCCTTTCAGAGACAGTGTTATATTTCAAGACAGATTTTGAAATGTTCTTTTTGATGATGAGTGTAATGCCATTCCTTTCTAATTTGTCATACAAGCAGAGTAAACCTTGTGACTGTCAGATTCAAAATAGCCAATAGTAGTCCATTTCACTTAATACTTGATATCTAGGATATCAATCTTTATATATTCCACTTCATTTTTCATAACTTTCAATTTTTCTAGATTCATACATTCCATGTTCCAATTATTAATGGATGTTTACAGCTGTTTCTCCTCATTTTGAGTTGTGCCACATCAGCAAATGAAGGTTCTGAAAGTTTTAATCCACTTGCGTCATCATAGTCAACTTTACTTTGAAGAGGCAGGTCTTCACCAGCCGTATTTTGAGAGCATTCCAATCTGAGGGGCTTACCTTCTGCTACTATATCTGACAATATTCTGGTGCTATTCAACATGTCTCAGTATTCTGGTGCTATCTGACTGTGTTCCACTGCTATTTACAAGGATTCAGAAGTAGTCCCCCTTGCCTTTTTCCTAGTCTGTGTTAGTCTGGAAGCTCAGTTGTAACCTATCCACATGGGTGTACCCTGCTGGTATTTAAAATACCAGTGGCATAGTTCCCAGCATCACAGCAATATGCAAGCCGCCATGGTATGACACTGACAGACAAGTGGTGGAACAATTCTATGTTGTTGTTAAGTGTCATCATATCAATCCTGTCTATGGTTTCTGAGGCTTTACATTTTCCTCTCATCTTTCTCCTGCATAGCAGCTGGCTGACTTAAACCACGGACCTTGTGGTTCTCAGTACAGTATTTATCTTTTGGATATTCTCCACACCTGAAGCAATCTTATAGGACAGAGTAAAGCTGCCTCATAGGGTTTCCAAGCTTGCAAATGTTTACAGAAGTACACTGCCACATCTTTCTCCTGTAGAGCAGCTGGTAGTTTCTAACCTTTTGCTAGCAGTTGAGTACTTAAACCATTTTACTACTAGGTCTCCTTTTCCTAAGTTAGGAAAAATAATTCAAATTAGTTTACCAAGAATTAATAACCTTATAAATCTTCAGAGCTTTCCAGCTCTAATCCTTCCCTATACTATAGTGATGGCAATTCAATCTGATTAAGGCAAATTTCTCATCATGCCCAGGGTCCAGTAAAAATGACTCAAGGGCTCAAGGGGAAGTTCCTGGCTCCCCTTGGGCATGTCAACAAGAGAAGAGGTCAGCGTGACTGTGGGACAAACCAGCCCTGTTTTCATAAAGTTTTATTAAAACATAGCCACATCATTTATGTGTTGTCTGTGGCTGTTTTCACATTTTAACAGCAGAGTTTAGTATTTACAAGAGACTGTATGGCTCACAAAGCCTAAATTATTTATTATCTGGCTCCTTATAAAGTCTGCTTACTTCGGAAGTAGAGCATCTATACTTTCGTGTCACACACTAATAATTTTATTAAAAGAAAGGGTTTCACTGCTTTAAGAAAAAGCTTGAAAATCACTGTCCTGCACAGGCTTGCTGCCTGGTCCCATCAGGTATTACATTAGATTGTCACAATGTGATGATTCTTCACATTCTCAGACCAGTTGCATCTTTGTGCAAACTGTTTCTTCCTGGCAAAATTTACCTTCTGATTTCAACTGACAAAACCATATATATCCTTCAGTGCTGATTTTAAATGCTAGCCTCCCTCATAAAGCATTTCCTACATCTTCCTGCAGGTTGTAATGACTTTTTCTACCCTGAACACCTTGGCATTTGCCATTCTGAGGCCAGTATCCAGTACAGTACCCAGCTTAGGTGTCCAGTGCATTTTTTCGTTTTGTTTTGCTAGTGTTTATTTCTTAAATTTTTAAAAATGTCATGCAGTCAAGACAGGTATAAATAATTTAGACCTGGTCTCTCGACCTTAGCACTACTGATCTTTTAGGTCGGGTAAGTTTTTGTTGTAGTAGGTTGTTGTGTGCATTGTAGGATATTTAGAAGCATTCCTGCCCTCTATCTACTAGAGGTTGACAACAACCTTTCCCCATCCAGTTGTGACAATTGAACATGTTCCCTAGTGGGATATACAGTAGTTATATTTTATGATTATAAAACCTAACTATAAAGTATATAAATTTTAGTTCCAAAGTCAAATTTAACAAAGATTCAACTCTAGCAAACTATAAACATACAATCTTTGAATAATCACATCTGACAGGATTACCATGGGTTTTTCTCTTCCCTCAGCTAGTTTCCTCTTTTTATGTATGTGTTTATTACGATCGATTTCTACATCACCATACACATTTGATACATCCTCAAGAAGAACCAGTGGAATTTGGCTTGGGGCATTAGGACCTATGGAAGGGGAAAACATCAATTATTTTTAAATGTAGCAAGGAAGAGAATACTTAATACCAGGAAGAAGTTCACTAAATTGAAAATATGGGTCATCAAAAACACATTTCTTTGATCCCAATTAGTTAAACAAACAAGTACATAAACAAAAGAAAAAGACTATGGGTATATGCAAAAACTAAGAAAGATTCTCTCTCACTGGTGGATTACAACTATTTTGTTCTTTGTACTAGTTCTTACTTAACTGCAAATATTTTACAATGATTATGAATTATCAATTTACAAAAAAATAACATCACAAAGTTACAGATAAAAGTATATTATGTTTACAAGTTCCAAACAAAATCTAAATATATGAAAGGTTAAAAGGCAGTTTATAAAAATGTGATCTTTGTTACACTAAAAGGATTATGGGTGATTTCACCCTCCTTAATTCTCAAACTTTTTAGCCTTCTAGAGTGTATATATAAAGGATAAGCACTGGACTGCTAACCACAAGGTTGGAGGTTCAAACCTACCAGCCAGTTCTTTGAAACCCTATATAGGGTTGCTATGAATTGGAACTGACTCGAAGACACTTAACATACATTCTAGGGTTAGGGTTGTTGTTGTTGTTAACTGTTGTTCAGTTGGCTCCAAATCACAGTGACCCTGTATGCAGTTTCCAAGGAGCAGCTGCTGGGTTTGAGCCCCCAACCTTGTGGTTAGTAGTCCAGGGCTTATCCTATAGCACCACACCAGGACTCCAGGGTTAGGATTAAGACACATATTCTTTCTCTCTCTCTCTCCATATATATATATATATATCTAGAAAACTAGGAAGTTCGAAAGCTAAAAAAGGTAAAATCACCCATAATTACGTATGTATATAATATTAATCTTTTTTGCTGGGGGGGCTAGTATATCTTTGTGAAATCTACTTCAACACTTTGTTATGTCTGTTGCTTTTTTTCAAATGAGAGGTATTTGATATCTGTATCTTTATAATACTACTACATCCTTAGATACAGAAGTTTTCAATGCAAATGTACTTACATAAAAGCTACTAACTAAAATATTAAAAACACTGGTACCATTCTGCAGATAATTGGATCCAAAATCATGGTTAAAATATTTTAATTATCCTCATCATGACCACTAAGGCTACTTTTAAAATCTCAGGTACTATTAAAATTCTTAAACCAACCTTGGAAGAGAGATGGCTGTATGCTGTTGACATACTGGAATGCATTCTTAAAGAAGACCAACATAGTAGAATAAACCACTTGGTTTTTATATTTTGCATGAGCTTCATTATCAAAGTTGTTCATGTATCTGCAGAGATCCTTCATTCTATGTAAAATATCACCATAGCTTCTGAAAGATGAAGGATGATAAAGCTAATTACTCTGGGTTTGTCAGAAAAAGGTAGAAAAGAAAAGTATTGCTAGAACTATTACCAAAAGAACCAATATTTTTACCAAATAAGAGCACAGTTCTTATTGTTAAGTGCTGTCGAGTCAGTTCTGACTTACAGAGACTGTTTAGGGTTTCCAAGGAGGAGCTGGTGGGTTTGGACCACTTACTTTGTGATTAACAGTCCTGTGCTTATCCTACAGAGGCACACCAGGGCTCCAAATAGAGCTCTGTTGTTGCTGTTGCTAAGTGCCTTTGAGTCAGTTGTGAATCATAGTGACCCTATATAGGACTTCCAAGGAGCAGCTGATGGGTTGAAACTGCCAACCTTATGATTAGCAGTAAAGTGCTGATACTAAAGTGACACACCAGGTGTCCAAAAGGTATATAAAAACTCTTTACTGTTGTATACCAGTTGCTATTGATTCCAACTCATGAAGGTCCTGTGTGTGGTGTAGTGGAACTGTGCTCCATGAGGTTTTCATGGCTGTGACCTTTGAGAATAACATCACCAGGTCTTTCTTTTGAAGAGCCTGAGTGAATCTGAACCACTAACCTTTTGGTTAATAGCTGAATGATTAACCATTTGTGCCATCCAGGAACTCCTATAGTCTACACATTGTTGTTGTTGTCAAGTGCCATTGAGTTGGTTCTGACCCAATATAGCGATCTTATATTGAGTTTCCAAGGAGTGTCTGGTGAATTTGAATGTCAACCTTGTACAGCAAACCAACCTTGTGGTCCAGTACTTATACTACAGCACCACACAAATGGCAAATTTCCCTTTCTGAATTAGGGTTGTGATTTCAACAAAGAATCATGACACAAACATGCCAAGGAGCTTCTCTTTTCTTTGAATTGCCAAGGAAAACTTCAAACTCAATAAACATCTTAAGAGCTCATACTTCAGTCAGTAATCTTATGATAAAGTGGAAAGCCACTTCAATGCTCTTCAGGTAAACACCAAGCATAATAATATTTGCCAAAGGAGAAGTATCAGATACATTATACACTTTAAAAAATGTTGTTTTTTTCTCTTTTTTTTTAAAAAAAAAGGACTCTGAGAATATGTAATCCAAAGATTTCATAGGTAATCTTAGCAATAAACAATTTTTTACCGTCTTCCTTTATCCATCTGCCATTCACATCTCATTCCAACAACATTCAAAATCTTAAACAATCTCTCCCAGGGGTCCACAATCTGGGATGATTTTTCAGTCAGTCCTTCTATGATGTACTTCTGAGAACTACGTTTGCTAGGTGACATTAAATCAGATGTATCTTGGGTACCTGTAATGACAGAAAAAAAGTTGCCTAAAATTAGCATTACTGATTACTCTTTATGTGGTACTTGATTAAAAACTTATATTTAATTTCCCATTCAAAAGACAGGAAAATAGAATTCCAAAAGGTTATATGCTTATATCTTGTTCAAGGGTGTACAGCTGGCTCATGGAACACTAGCATAAGGAAGTGAATTTTGAGCTGTGGTACACATATAAAGTTCCATGCATGGTTATAGCTCAGCAAAGCACAGTGTTTCAATTAAGGAGTTGAACTGATTCCAGAAAAGTCTCATCTCTTAACTGCAGTACAATATTCTAGGTGCCAAATTTTGGAAACACTATAAATTGGTATGTATCGAGAGGAGGATAATCAGAATGATGATTTCCAAACTGGCAATTTTACTAATTTTTATATAAATAAAATTTCAGATCATCCACACTTACCTTGATGTTGATTTTCTATCTGAGTAGACCTAGTGACGTAATTAATGTAAAATTCAGCTGCTTTGTTCAAGTACTTATATAGTAAATTGGCAGGCAATCGGACATCATGGTTATTAATTATTAAAGGAAGGACATCACAAACTGTTAAAGGAGAAAATAATAAAAAGTGATTAGGTTGTTTCTTTACCCTAAGGTTCTGTCAAAAACAAGATTTATTTCAGAGTTCATTTAATGTAGTAATATAGTATCTAAAATGTATTTGTTGTTGTGATGTGCCATTGAGTTGGTACCAACCCATAGCAACCCTGTACAGGGTTTCCAAGGAGTGGCTGGTGGGTTTGAACCACTGACCTTGTGGTTCAAACTGACCTTGCAGCGCATTATTCTGCAGCACTACACCAGGACTCCAATATATATAGATGTGGGGGGGGGAGTACCTTTGTGGCACATTTATTTAAAAATTGCTAGGCAGAAGGATACCAGTGGGTAGAGTCAATGAGGAAACACACAGGTAGATTCAACACTAGTGAGAAGGCTCTAGTTCTTAAATGGGGTGATATGTTCAGATGGCTGCTTATTATTACGCTTCATACTTATATATATGGTTATACATGCTGTTGTTGTGAAGTGCTGTTGAGTTGGTTCTGACCCATAGCGACCCTGTGGGTTTTCGAGGAGCAGCTGGTGAACTTGAACCACTGATCTTGCAGTTCAAACAGCTTTGTAGTCTGGCACATTAACCCACAGCGCCACACCAGGTTATATATGAGGGGGCTTTAAAAAGTTCATGGAAATATGGAACTAAAAGATAATGGGATTATTCTATGAACATTTTGAAGGCTCTTCATGTTTTTTCTGTATCAGTAATTACACAGCAAAAATTTAGAAGCTGTTAAACATTTTTTCTAGATGAAATAATTAAATAACATAAAGAATTCCTTTGCTTTCCGTAAACACAATTTTTCTTACCAAATAATTTTCGAAAGCAGTTAACAGGAGATTCTTGCTCTTCAATAGTTTCAGCCTCTAATAATGCCTCTCCAAGGCCAACCTGTTTCAAAATGAAATTAATAATTTTAAAATGTGTTAAAAATATGTCAGAATCCACATGTTAACTTAGGTGACAGGACAGGCAATACACAACAAGAGGGAGATTGGCAGAGGAAGATGAAGGTAGTTGGAGAACAGGGCAGAATGTAATAGCTAAAGTGAATCGAGGTAAATCCTGTTAACTGATGGTGCAAGGGATTGCAATCAGTGTAATGACACAAAGTGTACGATTTGTTGATGTAGAACCGGTGATCTGATCTGTAAACCTTCACTCAATTTACAGTCAAAAGCTTTAAGAAATATGTCAAAATTACATGAAAAAACAAGGAATTTTCTTAATTATTACATAGCTGTAAATTCAAATTTCCCTAAGAGATTAGACATTCTCGTGTTTTAAATTAGAAAATAAAGAATGCACCAGCACCATAACATAGTACAGAATTTCAAATTCTGTCTCCTCTAAACTAGCAAATTTTAAATGCTAAGAACTGTCTATGAAACTTCAGGAAGGCAAAAGAACTAGAGCTAGAATGATAACAGAAATTCAGAAATTTTTAAAGAAATGTGAACACTAACTTTATTCCCTACATCAATATACATTACTTAAATAAAACTTATCACTTTCACCCACCACTTGTCTGTCAGTTTGTTGTACTGTGGTGGCTTGTGAGCTGCTGTGATTCTGGAAGCTATGCCACCGGGTCACCCATGGTGAACAGGTTTCAGATGAGCTTCCAGATGAAGGCAGACTAGGAAGAAGGAGTGACTAACTACTTCTGAATATTTAGTCACTGAAAACCTTATGAATAGCAGAGAAACACTGTCAGATTCAGTGCTGGAAAATGAGCCCCTCAAGTTGGAAGGCACTCAAAATGCGACTGGGGAAGAGCCACCTCCTCAAAGCTGAGTTAACCGTGATGATGCAAATGGAGTAAAGCCCGTGGGAGAAAAGCATACGGGACCTTCATCTGCTGATGGGGTACAACTCAAAATGAAGAGAAACAGCTGTAAACATCCACTGAAAAATTGGAACATGGGATGTACGAAGTACGAATCTGGGAAAATTGGAAGTTGTCAAAAATGAAATGGAACGCATAAACATCGATATCTTAGGCATTAGTGAGCTGATATGGACTGGTATTGGCCATTTTGAATCTGACAACCACATGGTTTATTATGCCGGATCACAAATTAAAGAGGAATGGTGTTGCATTCATTGTCAAAAAGAACATATCCAGATCAGTCATGAGGTACAACGCTGTTTGTGATAGGATAATATCCATGTGCCTACAGGAAGTCCTGGTGTGGCCCTGTGGGCTAATGCGTCAGACTGCTAAGTTGTTTGAACTGCAAGGTCGGTGGTTCAAGCTTCTCAGAAACCCTATACAGGGTCACTATAGGTTGGAACCAACTTGACGGCACTTAACAACAACAACAACAGGGAAGCCCAGTTAATACCACTACTATTCAAGTTTATGTAACTAAAGACAGTGAAGATAAAATAGAAGAATTCTACCAACTTCTTCAATCTGAAATTGATCAAACACGCAATCAAGAAATATTGATCATTACTGGTGATTGGAATGCAAAGGTTGGGAGCAAAGATTAGTAGTTGGAAAATATGGCCTTGGTGATAGAAATGATTTTGGAGATCCCATGATAGAATTCTGCAAAATCAATGATTTGTTCATTTCAAATACCTTCTTTAGACAGCGTTTAAGATGGAATACACAGAAATCAAATTGACTACATCTGCGGAAAGAGACGATGGAAAAGCTCCATATCATCAATCAAAACAAGGCCAGGGACAGACTGTGGAACAGACCATCAATTAGTCATATGCAAATTCAAACTGAGGCTGAAGAAAATGAAAACAGGTCCACAAGAACCAAAATATGACCTTGAATATATCCCACCTGAATTTAGAGATCATCCGAAGAACAGATTTGATACATTAAAAACTAAAGACCAAAGACCAGAAGAGTTGTGGGATGACATCAAGAACATCATACATGAAGAGAGCAAAAAAGTCATTAAGAAGACAAGAGAGAAGGAAAAGGTCAAAATGGATGTCAGAAGATACACTGAAACTTGCTCTCCAGCATAGAGATACTAAAGCAAATAGAAGAAATGAGGAGGTCCAAGAGCTGAACAGAAAATTTCAAAAATCAGTGTTGAAAAGCAAAGATGTCAGCTTGAGGACTAAGGTGAGCCTGACCCAAGCCATGGTATTTTCAATAACCTCCTATGCATGTGAAACTTGGACAGTAAATAAGGAAGACTGTAAAAGAATTGACACATTTGAGTTACAGTGTTGGAGGAGAATATTGAAAGTGCCATGGGCTGCCAAAAGAACAAACAGATCCATGTTTGGAGAAGTGTAGCCAGAATGCTCCTTGGAGGCCAAGATGGCCAAACTTCATTTTTCATACTTTAGACATATTGTCAGGAGGGACCAGTCACTGGAGAAGGATATCATGTTTGGTAAGGTGGAGGGTCAGAGAAAAAGAGGAAGACCCCCAACGAGATGGATGCGCTTAAGCGTGGCAACAATAGTGAGGTTGGCCCAGGACTGGACAGTGTTTCGTTCTGCTGTGCATAAGGTTGCTATGAGTCGGCACCAACTTGATGGCACCTAACAACAAATCACTTTCAAGAATTTTCAGGAATCAGTGGTCATATTAGGCATCCTGGTATGGCGTTGGGGTTAATGCACTGCACTGCAAAGTCAGTTTGAACCACAAGGTCCACAGGTTATCAGTCAAGCACTAGCCTCTGTGCCACCAGGGCTCCTTTCACTTATGCCCTAGTATAGTAGAAAGTCTGCTCATCAAAATCCACCAAGATAGCTGCATTGTCTTCCTTGCACTCACACCTGGATGACTTGCGTCTTGCTGGAACAATGTGAAACATTACATAACCTATAAAATTAAGTCAGCGTAAGGACCAGGGAGTATACTGTTCTGAACAGTGGCACCTCAAAATTGATGTTTCTGGGAACCTCAGAAAGTTACATTATATGGAAATAGGGACTTTGCAGATATAATTAGTTAAGAGGAGATCATACTAGATTAGGGTGGGCCTAGCCTAGTCACTGGCATCATACGATGCAAGAAGAAAGATACACAAGGGAAAAGGCTATGGAGTTTATGACAATGATAGGAGTGCTACATCTAGGAGCCAAGGAATGTGAAAGATTGATGGTCAACACCAGAATCAAGAAAGAGACAAGCAAAGATTCCTCCCCAGAAGTTCCAGAGAGAGAGAGTATGGCCATGCTGACATCTTGATTTTATACTGCTAGCCTCCAGAACTGTGGGGAAATACAACCATTTGTGATACTTTGTTCTGGCAGTCTTCAGAAACTAAAACAGGGAGAGATGGAACAATTTACTTAGGATCAGATGTTAGAAAAAAAGGCAAGAGAAAGAACTACTAAGATTTTGAATTAATAAAAGCTATTGATTTGATCACTAACTAGAGAGTAGATACGGGGGTGACGAGAAAGGCGATATACAGTAAGAGGGAGGGCAGCACAACATGACCAATGGCAAAGAAAATCACTGGGAGGTGCACAAGAGTAAAGACAAAGGTAAATATTATACAAACAATCTTGTAATAGCAGCACTAACAAATAACATCTACATGTAGGTACATAGGTAAACATGCAAACTGAGTGGGAGAGCTAATGGGAATATACCCTGGAGTATATAGGTTTGACAGAGGATATTTCGTGTAGTGATTACAAATCGGGCTGCGAACCTTAAGGTAAGCAGTTCAAAACTACCAGCTGCTCCGTGAGAGAAAGATGAGGCGTTCTGCTCCCGTAAAGATTTACAGCCTCGGAAACCCTGTACAGGGTCACTAGGGGTTGGAAACGACTCCACGGCACTGATCAACAACAACGTTTCTACATACGTATTTTATGTGCTATAAATATATTTCCATACAATAAGCACCAGACTGTGAACCACAAGGTCCATGGTTCAAGTTGCTCTGTGGGAGACAGATGAGGCTTTCTCCTCCCGCAAAGACTCAAAGCCTCAAAAACCCTGCTCTGGGTCACTCTAAGTTGGAATCAATTCGACAGCACTTAACAATAACAATTCAAAGAGCATACAGGGTACAAAGTTCTGGAAAATGTCTTAGCTGTAACCAAACACCTTGAGGGAATGACTTACTGGGCTTAGGGATTTAGGACCACAGTCTCCGAGAACATTTAGGTCAATTGGAATAACAGGGTCCACAAAGGCAATATGCTTCATCCTACTTTGCAGCCTCGGACACCCTGTGCAGGGTCACTATGAGTTGGAACTCCATTTAACAACAACAACTTTAGTTGAGTAGCAACTGGGATCTTCAAAAGTGCGAGTGGCCATCTAAGATGTATTTAGAGCAAAGCAGAGTGAAGAAAATGAGAGACTCAAGGAAGGACCAGTGGACATGAACCACAATCACTACTACCTAGACACTAGAACTAGATGACCACTTGGGTCAGGAACACAACGGAAAGTTCTCAAAAGAGGGAGGAAAAAAAAAAGAACAAATTTAAAAGCATAAAGAGACCAGACTTACTGGTTTGATAGAGACTAGTGGAACCCTTGAGACTGTGGCCCTTAGACACGGTTCTAGTCTAGAAATGAATCCATCCCCAGGGATCAACTTTCAAACAAACAATAAACCAAAAACCAAATTTACTGCCAATAGATGGATTTCAATTCACAGTGACAGCCCCCCGCCCCATAGGACAGAGTAGAAGTGCCCCATAGAGTTTCCAAGGCTGTAAATCTTTACAGAAGCAGACTGCCACATCATTCTTCCATGGAGCAGCTAGTGGGTTTGAACTGGTGACCTTCTAATTAGCAGCTGAGATTGTGGTTTGTATAGACTATTAATCCAATGGACTTGTTTCTTCTGAGTCATTGGTTTCCCTCTTTGTTTTCCTTCTGGATGTATACATACCAATACTTGTAACTTACATGGCTGCTTGCAAGCTTTTATTACCCCAGACATTAGTCACCAATTTAGGATGTAGAACATAAACTGTATGTCCTATGTTACACAAGTGACTGAGTTGTCCCATGAGGCTATGGAAAGCAATCTTATGAGGCATTTGATTAAGTCTAAGAAGTATCCATGTTTGTGCCCCCTATATGTTTCATTTTACATATTAATATATATGGCATACATTTGCATATCGACACATCTATATATGCATATGTTGTTGTTAATGCCATCAAGTTGGTTCCAACCATAGTGACCCTGTACAGGGTTTCCAAGGAGCAGCCGGTGAATTTGAACCACCAACAGTGCAGTTCAAACTGACCTTGCGGTCCAGTGCATTATTCCACAGTACCACACAAGGACTCTATATATGTATGTGTGTGTGTATATATATATATATATATATATATATATATATATTTGTTTGTTTGTTAAGTGCCATCGAATTGGTTCTGACTCATAGTGACCCTATATAGGGGTTTTCTAGGAGCAGCTGGTAAGCTTGAACCACCAACTGTATATATAAACTTGCATGGGATTCCTGGATTGGCACTATGGGTTAATGCACTGGACTGCAAAGTCGCTTTGAACTGCAAGGCTGGTGGGTCAAGCTTATTAGCTGCTCCTTGGAAACCCTATACAGGGTCACTATGGGTCATAACCAAGTTGACGGCACTTAACAACAAAAACATACACTTGCATACATACTTATACACTAGTGTAACCACACTTCTAATGTTTAGTTGTTGCACAGTTGTATTATGCTACAGTATTTACCAAAAATGTCCTTTTTTTCTCGCAGACTTCTTACTGACGTCATTACTTTGATCAAACTATGCACACTTTACTCACTAATAAGACAACTTCAAATAGAAATATATAGTCATAGTTTAATAAAGATTTCTTGATTTAAGTTAATCTTATCCAATGCTCCTCAAATCTCTGCTTTAGTTATACTGGTGAAGCAATTTATGATCAATTTTAGTTTCTCTTGGAAAAAAAAGGAAAGGAACAAATCTTACCCCATGTTGCACCACTGTTTCAGGAAATCGTCTCAAAAGTAGAAGCAACATTTCTGATCGTTCCAATGTGTTGAAGCATTGTTCTGTGACCTTTAGTAACATTTCACACTGGACTCGACCAGGAAGAGTTTCAAATAAACCTGTACATAACATATTTCACTTTTAAAAGTTTTTGGAAAATAAAAATAACAGAAAGTACTGAGAAAAAGTTTAAGTAAGACAATATCATGTACAGAACAGTAAATACAATGTGAAGAATCAACGTTATTGGGTTTTACCCATAACCTGGCAGGCTTTTGGATCAGACAGTACTTGGCACAAGATATTTGCCAAATGATCATAAAACATTTGGAGATCTTATTGGTTACAGAAGGCAAGAATGATACTATGTGAAGGGTAACACCAATGTTTATTAAAAGTTAAGATAAAAAGCATATAGTTGCTTAAATTGAAATGACCCAAAACATCTCATTTGTTTTTATCCAAAATTAGAAATCTTTGGTCAGCTATAACAATGACTACAGAGAGAAGGTCATAAATTAATGAATCATAAATTAAAGAGGAAGGTCATTAAGTAATACGTTTCTCTCCTGTTTTGTAGCAATATGCCTAATCTATAGATATTTTCTGATTCTGTAAAACCTCTAAAAACATACATTCAGTTACCTCAGCTTACTGAAAAATCCACATCCTTTCAGGAAACTTAACGATTTCTAAGTAAATACTCAAGGGATCACTTGACATCATTTGTCAGGATTAGTTGCCAAGAATAAAATATACATATGGGCACAGATAGCACACATGTGACTTTTTGGTGAAATTACTGTATATAATTTGGTATTCCAGAAATGATAATATGTAGACCATTAAGCTGTCACTCCATTCTTACTTCTTAAAAATTGTGTTTGTTTATCTTGTGAATCATTCCTTAGTGCTGATGTAATAATGCTGATTTCTCTCCACACCACCGGCTGGTCTGGGAAATTCACAAACCTATTTTTAAGATGAATGCATCAAATTAAAACGTTAGAATTGCATATAAAAATAAGTAAAATTTATTCCAAGTTAATACTTAGGTGTCCCCAAACAAACCAATGTAAATATAACAAAAATAACATCCAACTAATTAAGAAAACTGAGGATACTTACTAAAGTCTTTAGAGGCTTTCAAAAGTGAGAAAATAAGTGACTATAATATATAAAGCACTTCTAAAAACCAACAAAATAAAACTACCTCAAAGAAAAAAACTGGCAAAAGCAAATTGTTGAAAAAATGCAAAAGCCAAAGATAACATTGGAAAAGATGCTCAACAGTACAAGTAATGCAAATCAAAGACTAATATTATCCAGTGTTGGCAAGGATGTGGATAAATGAACCCATCTTACACATTAGCACTAGAATGGAAATAGGAACAGTATATTTTGGAGAGCAATTTGACAGTATGGCCAATGCGCCAGACTGCAATGCCATTTGAACTGCAAGATTGGTGGTTCAATCTCACCAGCTGCTCCTTGGAAACTCTATACAGGGTCGCCATGGGTCGGAACCGACTCGACAGCACTTAACAACAACAATCAAAATTTTAAATGTGCATATCCTTTGACTATGAAAATCTATGTCTATGGATTTAGTCTCTTTATTGATATTCTGAATAAAATTTCAAATAGTTGGCAACTACCTACATATCCATCAATTAAAGAGTGGTTAGGGAATACAATACAGGTATGAAAAAGAACAAAGTAGATCTCTACAAACTGACAAGGAAAGGGGCCCATTAAATGTAATAAGTGAAGAGGAGGTCTGGTGATTAAAGCACTTGGATGCTAACCACTAGTTAATGGTCAAAGATGTGGCAGGTGGTTAAGTTTCATGGCCTTAGAAACTCTAGGGGGCAGTTCTCTGTCCTATAGGGTTGCTATGAGTTGGAATTGACTCCACCACAGTGAAGCAAGCAAGCTGGAGAATCAAATGAATACGATCCCATTTTCGTAAGCTCTCCCAAGGCCTATTTATACGTAGTGTGTGTTTATATACACGGAGTCCTGGGCACAATAGTGTGACCGCTAATTGAAAGGTTAGCGATTCCAGCTGGCTACTCTGTGTGATTGTACTGTCACATGGGATCATGATGAGTCAGAAATTCCTTCCATAGCACTTAACATATGCACTGGTGCTTCTAAAAGTTCGTGGAGACATGAAATTAAAGATAATGGAATTTTTCCAAGAACCTTGTGAATGTATGTATGTATGTTGTTGCTGTTAAGTGTAGTTGAGTCCATTCCGACTCAAAGCAACCCTGTACACAGTTTCTGAGGAGCAGCTGGTGGATTTGAACTGATGACCTTGTGGTTCACAGCCCAGTGCTGATCCTACAGACACACAAACCTTCACTCTGGTGTGTTTTTCTTTTTGTTGTTGTGGAGGGATTTTCACTTCTCATTCTCCATACTTCACTACTGTTGGCACTTTGACAATGAGTCTGTGTTACTTTTAGAATGAAAAGAACAGCAGCTAGGATGATGCACTTACAATGAGCCCATGCTATTTCTAAAATAAACAGAATAGTGTCTAGGATGAAGCACTTACAATGATCCAATGCCATTTCTAACATAGAACAGTGGCTGGGATGATGCCTATATACTAATACTACATAAGAATAAGCCTCTGCAGACGGCAGATTAACAATGAATGAAAGACCCACACTGGTTACTAGGCAGCTGGTAGCAGAGCTCTGCATGAACTTGCACAGACATACGGAGCAACACGAGCAACACGAGCAACACGGCGCGGGTCAAGAGCCTGACACTCACATGTCGTACAGCAGTCTCCCGGCGGTGGCCGTCCGCTCGGCGTTCCGCTCGATCGTGTACATCTCATACTGCAACACAGGGCAGGACGCAGGGCATTACCCTCCCCAGGGGGACTGGGGCCCAGAGGGCAGCACCCCGGGCCACGATGCGCAAAACTGGGGCCCAGACACCAAGGTTCCTCGGGAATGTAACTCCTGCTCTCTTGCAACCCCCTCGGTTCTCAGGGTTCAATGAGTTAATGTCAAAAAAGTAGCAGGCGCTCATCAATGGCTGCCATTATTATGAATGAAGGAGCAAATGGCGTTTTTCTATTGGCAACGGTGTGTAGTATTGGCCAGAGAACGTGACACCCTCCTCCAACTAACCCAACCAGACCGGACCTCTAGTGGGATCCACTGTCCCTAGGGTGTTGGGCTGGAGGACTTTGTGGGGAGTAGTCTTGAGGAAGGTATAGGAGAGATCGGGAAGGTAGGAAGTGGGAATGAGAAAAGAGCCGCCTGGGCAAGAGGCAACAGGATACCGAAGCGGCCGCAGGCAAGGGGCCCCGCAGCACCTGGGGCACAGGGTAGTGCTCAAGTTTCGACTCAGGCCACACGCACGGCCCTGACCTCACCTGGATGTTAAAGTCGGCCGGGTAGAGGCTGCGGGCCGTAATCAGCCAAGCCTTGGCCGCCCATAGGTCCTGCTGCTCCAACTCCCGGGCTCGTTGCACTAGAAACTCGCAGTCACCCTGGGCCGACATGATGCCAGAGATGGGGAACCTCCGCTTCAAGTCGCCGGACCTTCCGGCTCCCGAACACAGCCGCCGCGGGGGAGGCTACTGCGCATGTCTGAGGTCGCACAGATTATATACACACACACAGAGTGGATCGGGAAGGTATTTCCGGGATTTGTGAGACGCCTCCTGCGTTTAGCTCTCAGTTCTCGCCAGCCTCTACAGGCGAGGAGGGAGCTGGTGCTTTTGGAGCAACTCTTCCTGGTCACCTGCAAAACGTGGAGGAGTGGAGTTTTATACTCTTGGGAGCCCTCCAGTAAATCAGTGAGCATGCGCAGGAGCAAACAGTCACTACGTTTGCTTGTTCGGGCCCTGCCAGTCACCTTGTGCTTTGCAGTTTTCAGGAGTCACGAGCGAGAGGGCTAGTCCCCAGGGCAGGGGGTAGTCCCTAGGGCAGGGGATGGATATGTGGTCTCCTGGCTGTATCCTGAGGCTCATACCTGGCACCGGGTTGGAAAAGGCAGTGGGAACACTCCTGTGTGACTTCAGAGGATGGTCGACTAGGTGGCAAGAACACGCAAAGCTGCAGGTGTGCGCAGAACACAGAGGAAAATGATAATGCCTAGTGGTTTGTTTGGTGTTTTTAATCTTTCCTACTGTTGGTGATTCAAACCCCCAGGCCCTCCTGGGAAACCCTATATAGTGTCGCCATGAGCCAGAATTGGCAGAACTTAGCAGCAGCAACAAGTTGGAGCCCTGATGTGGTTCTTTAGGATAAGCACTGGACTGCTAACCAATAGGTTGGCAGTTCAAACCCACCAGTCGCTCCTGGGAAAATCTATACCGGGTTACTGTGAGTTGGAACCGACTGGCTGCACTTCACAACAAGAAGTAGATATAGGGAGTCCTGGATTCCAACCACAAGCTCATTGGTTCAAACCTACCAGCCTATCCTTGGAAAATCTATACAGGATGGATTTGTGTCTCAACCGACTCCACAGCATTTAGCAACAAGTATGTTCCAAGAAACTTTGGTGGCGCAAATGATTGAGCACTCAGAAGCTCAAGCCACCCGACGGCTTTTCTGAGAAAAAGACATGGGAATCTACTTCATAAATCTTGCTGTTGTTGTCAGGTGCCTTTCAGTCGTTCTGACACAAAGCGACCTCACGCCCAACAGAAGGAAACACTTTGCAGTCTGACAGCATCCTCAGTCATTGTTACACTTGAGCCTATTGCCTCTGCCACTATTAATCCATCTCCTTAGGGGTTTCCCTCTTCTTTCCTCTCCCTCCACATTACCCAGCTTGGTGTCCTTCTCTAGTGACTGGTCCCTCCTGATAATATCTCCGAAGTATGAGAGACAACTCTGGCCATCCTGGCTTCTAAAGAACATTCTGTCTGTACTTCTTCCAACACAGATTTGTTTGTTCTGGCAGTTCATCGTACTTTTCAATTTTCATCTCCAACAACATAACTCAAATTAATCAATTCTTCTACAGTCTTCTTTATTTATTGTCCAACTTTCATATGCATATGAGGTTATTAAAAATACCATGGCTTGGATCAAGCACACCTTGGTCTTCAAACTGAGCCTCTGCTCTTAAGCACTTTAAAGACATCTTGTACAGCAGATTTGCCTAATGAAATTCTCATTTGATTTCTTTCTTTTTTTAAATAAGATTTTTATTGTTGTTATGTGCTGTGGAGTGGGTTCTGACTCATAGCGACTCTGTACAGGGTTTCTGAGGCTGTAATCTTTATAGGAGCAGGAAGCCTCATCTTTCTCCTGCAGAACAGCTGGTAGTTTCAAACTGCTGACTGTGAGATTAGCAGCCCAATTCGTAACCACTACACTACCAGAGCTCCTTAGAAAAGGTTTATTTCAAAACAGAGTTAGACATTCATTTGATTTCTTGACTGCTGCTTCCATGAGTGTTGATAGTGGATTCAAGCAAAATAAAGTCTTTGCTAATTTCAATCTTTTCTCCATTAATCTTGTTGTTATTATTGCTCCAGTGGTAAGGATTTTTGTTTTCTTTACATTCAGGTACAACCCATACTGAAGGCTGTAGTCTTTGATTTTCATCAGTAAGTATTTTAAATCCTCTTCACTTTCAGTAAGCAAGGTTGTATGGTCTGTATATCAAAGATTGTTTATGAGTCTTCCTTCAATCTAGATGCCACATTCTTGTTCATATAATCCAATTTCTCAGATCATTTGCTCAGTATACAGATTGAATGTTGTTGTTATGTGCCATGGAGTTGGTTCTGATTCATAGCGACCCTGTGCAGGGTTTCCGAGGCTGTAAATCTTTACAGGAGCAGAAAGCCTAATCTTTCTCCCACAGAGCAGCTGGTAGTTTCGAACTGCTGACCTTGAGGTTGGCAGCCCAACTCGTAACCACTACGCTACCAGAGCTCCTTTTTTGGTAGCCAGTGTCTAAGTTGCCCATCCCTGTCAACCCTGTGTGCAGAGGGGGTGGGAATGATCCTTGCTATAAAGATTCGTTCCCTCTTTTAAGCTACTACATCCATAAGTATAGGTCAACTTCATCAAATTGTAGCAGATTACACTTTTTACCTCTAGTCGAGTTCTGATCATCCAGGCATTGAAGCTAGGTCAAATGGGTACTAGCTGCAAGCATGGGCATTCTTATGTATCTCCCCTCACTTCATATCAGCTGGAGGCTTCATTCTCCACTGCAGTCCTCTGTGACTATGTCCCTGTCCATGGACTCAGGAGTCCCCAGGTCTCATTATACTGCTGGTCAACCAGGTCGCAATCCAGGCTGACAGGATTCTATTGAACTTGGTCAGATTTAGTTCACATCTTCATTGCTGTTTCCCCCCCACTTTCCCTTATCAGTAGACCAATATGGTCACCAGCAAGATTACATGCCTGCTTGTGTATTCCCTTTGAGTTTCAGTCTTGGAAGGGGGTTTGCCTTGAGGGGACTTGATTGCTTTCCTTGATGGCTCCCTAGTGAACAACTTGCTTGTGCTTTTAGTAGTCAATCAGACTGCTGTTACTGTTTTAGATTTTTCTTGCTGGACTTTCTTTCAAGAAGTATCTCTTTTCCTCTAGCTGCTCTAAGCTGTCTTTTCAAGTGGAAATTCCCACCTCAGAAGATTCTGGATGGATATCAGGATTCCACCTATGGTCTTATGCAATGTAAAGGCTCTGCAGGAAGCCTCTTTCCCTGGGCAAGTTCTACCTTCATTTTAGGTAATCCCATCAGTTATAGGCTGAAGACGGGCTTACAAGCTTTCTATATTGATGTTTTTGGCTATTCCTTTCTCTCCCCCTCAAGTGTCTATTTTATAATAATAGGCAAGAGAAACCAAGATTCATAAGACAGTCAAGCATCTTAACATTATTTCCCCCCTTTTACCCATTCAAACCATGCCTCAATCCCTGTAACACAGAGCCCTGTTGTTCCAAGGTTAGCATACATCACTATTTACCTCTGTCCCACTTAGCCCATGCAAACCTGCCTAAATGTTCTCCCATCTGACTTGTTCTTCCATTCCCCTCCCCCTTCTTATGTATTACCTGCCCCACCCTCTGCACCTCGGTAACCAGCAAAGAATTTTTCTTTTTTTCCCTTTTAGTGTGGGTACTTTTTCTTAAGCTTTTATAATAGTGGTCCTAAACAGTATTTCTCCTGTCTTGACTGACTAATTTCACTCAGCATAATGTCCTCAAGGTTCATCCATGTTATGTGGTGACTTGCAGCTTCCTTGTTATTCTTCAAAGAAGAATAATATTCCATTGCTTGTATGTAACAAAGTTTGTTTATGCATTCTTCCACTGATGCACACTTAGGCTGTCTCCATCTTTTTGCTATTGTAAATAGTGCTGCTATGAACTTTGGTGTGCATATATCTACTTGTGTTATGGCTCGTGTTTCTTGTGGATAAATACCAAGTAGAAGGATTGCTGGATCATAAGGTATTTCTATTTCCAATTTTCTGAGGAAGCGCCATACTGTTTACCAGAGTGGTTGGACCATTTTGCAATCCCACCAGCAATGTAGGAGGGTTACAGTCTCTCCACATCCTTGTCAGCATTTAATGTCCTCTTCTTTTTTGAACTTCACTATTATTGTGGGTGTGAGATAATATCCTGTGCCCATTTTTTAAATTGGGTTACTTGTCTTTTTCTTGTAGAGGTGTTGTAGTTTCCTATAGATTTTAGAAATTAGTCCCTTGTCTGATATGTCATTGCAAAAGATTTTTTCCCATTCTGTGGACTCCCTTTTTACTCTTGGTGAAATCCTTTGATGCACGTAAGGTTCTAATTTTCAAAATGTCCCAATCATCTCTTTTGTTTGTGTAATTTTCTCAATGTTTGGTAGTCTGTATGTGCCCTGTATTAGAGCCCTTAAATTTGTCCCTATTTTTTCCTTGATGACCTTTATAATTCTGGGATACACATTTAGGTCTTTAATCCCTGCTGAGTTGGTTTTCTTATATGGTGTGAGATAAAGGTCTTGTATCACTCTTTTGCATATCGATTTCCAGTTCTGCTATCCCATCTGTTGAAGAGACTATGTCTTCCCCACTCAATGTATTTTGGCCCTTTGACAAAGATAAGTTGGCTGTATGTAGATGAGTTAATTTCTGGATTCTCGATTCTGTTCCATTGATCTATGTATCTTTCATTGTACCAGTACCAGGCTGTTTTGACCACTGTAGTGATGTAGTAAAATTTGAAATCAGGTAGTGAAAGGCTTCCAACTTTGGTCTTCTTAAGCAGTGTGTTGCTTATCCTGGGTCTCTTTACTTTTCATATAAAGTTTGTAATTGTTTTTTCCATCTCGCTAAAGAATGTTGTTGGAATCTGGATTGGGATTGTGTTAGATGTGTAGATTGCTGTGGGTAGTATTGATATTTCACAATGTTAAGTCTTCCTATCCAGGAGCATGGTATATTTTTCCATTTTTGTAAGTCTCTTTTTGTTTCTTATAGTAGTGTTCTGTAGTTTTCTTCATATAGGTCTTTTGTTACATTTATTCCTTTGGGTGGCTATTGTAAATGGTATTGCTTCTCTAATTCCCTTTTCAGT